AAAAACTAAGTATATTTCCCTTCATCCTATCCTACCCCCCATTTATTCTGTTCTCTCTTTTGACCCTGTCCCACCTCAGAAGTGTTTGCTTTTGATTATCCCCTCCCCCAATCTGCCCTCCCCTCTATCAACCCCCTGATATCTTGTCCCCTTCCCTCCTTATTTTGCGTCGGGTAAGACAGATTTCCATACCCCATTGTGTATGCAATTCCCTTCTTAAGCCAAATCCTATGAGAATAAGATTGACTCATTCCCTCTCACCATCCCTTTTCCCCTCCATTGTAAAAGCCTTTTGTTGTCTGTTTCATGTGAGATAATTTACCCTGTTCTTCTTCTCTCTTTCTCCTTCTTCCAGTATAATCCTCTCTCACACCTTAATTTTATTTTCCAGATATCACTCCTTCATCTTCAACTCACCTATGCATAGGCACACTTTCTAAGGTTGAAACATATCACATATATACATATATATATGATTATTTTTCAATTCAACTTGAGACATCTGTTGAATACCTCAACTGTACTAAACACTGGCATACCAAGCCAAAGAAGAAACAACCCTTTCCTTTTACTAAAGAAATACAATATTCACACAGACTTAGAGATAGGAGGTAATTTGAGGAGAAATAGAGCCCAACCAACCTAGTATTTGATAAATCCAAAGATCCCAGTGAGCAAGAACTCATTTTTTAACACAAAAACTGTTGAGAAAACTGGAAAACGGTCTAGCAGAAACTAGATATAGACCAGCACCTCACAGTTTGCCTAGAAAAGCTCCAAAGGAGTACATGGTTTCCATATAAAGGGAGAGATAAACAAATTAGAGGAGCTGGAAGAAATTACCTCTAAGATCTATGGATAGGGGAAGACTTCGTGGTCAATGAAGAGTTAGAGAGGTTCACAGAAGGTAAAATGGATATTTTTTGATTGCATAAAATTGGAAAGTTTTTGCAGAAGCATAACCAATGTAGCTAAAATGAGAGGAAAAGTGAGAAGTTGGGAAGAAAATCTTTGCTGCAAGTTTTTCTGATAAACATCTCATCTCCCAAATACATAGGGAATTTACAAAAACAAGAGCCGTTCCCCAGTTGATAAATGTCAAACATAAGAACAGGTAGTTTTCAGAGGAAGAAATCCAAGCTATAATATTCATATAAAAAAGGATCTAAATCACTAATAAGAGAAATGCAAATTAATGCAACTGAGATACCATCTCATACCCATTGGCTAAGATGTAAAAAAGTAAAAGGACAAATGATGGAGAAGCTTTGGAAAAACAGGTACATAAAGGCGCTGTTGGTAGAACTGTGAAGCAATCTAACCATTCTGGAAAGCAATTTGGAAATATGCCCCCCAAAATAGTAATCTTAATATGTCCTTTAAACAGAGACATTACTACCTGGTTTTTACTCCAAAAAGATCAAAGAAAGAAGAAAAGGATCCATACGTACAAAAATATTTCTGAAAGCTCTTTTTTTTTTGTAGTGGCAAAGAATTGGAAACTGGGGAAAGGCTGAACAAATTATGGTATACCAAGGAGACATAATACAATTGAAGAATACAATACAATTGAGAAATAATGAAAGGGACAGTTTCAGTAAAACTTGAGAAGACTTACATGAACTGATGTAAAGTGAAGTGAGCAGAAACATGAGAACAATTTATACAGTGACAGCAATATTGTAAAGATAATCAACTTTAAAAGACTTAATAACTGATTAACACAATGACCTAACACAGTTTCAAAGGGCTAATGATGAACATGTTATTTATCTTCAGATAGAAAACTGATGGACTCAGAGTGAAGACTGAAGCATGTTCTGTCTCTGTCTCTTTGTCTCTCTGTCTCTGTCTCTCTCCCTCCATGACTAATGTGGGAATTTGTTTTGCATGACTATACATATTTGTGGAGGCAGCTAGATAGCTCAGGGAATAGAGTGCGGGGCTTGGAGTCAGGAAGACCTGAGTTCAAATCCGGCCTCAAACACTTACTAGCTGTGTGACCTTGGACTTGTCACTTAACTTCTGTTTGCCTTTATCCACTGGAAAAGGAAATGGCAAACCACTCTGGGTATCTTTCCCAAGAAAACCCCATGGACAGCATTGGTGTTCTATGGTCCGTGAGGTCACAAAGAGTTGGACATGACTTAACAACTGAACAACAACAATACATGCTTGTAATGGATTCTCTTTTTCTTGCCTTCTCAATGGTGTGGGGAGAGGGATAGAATTTAGAACAGAAACTAAAATAAAAAAAGCAGAGTCCTACAAAGCAGAATCTCACTCAAGCAGAACAGTCTTTATTAAGCTCCTGCTCCTTGCCTAGCCCTCTCATGCTGGGGGACATGGTCAACAAGAATTGGTGCAAGGGGCAGCTACGTGGAGACCCAGGCCAAGGAGAATGCCTACGACCTGGAAGCCAACTTGGCCATGCTCAAACTATCCCAGTTCAACCTAGTCTTCTTCCAGACCACAGTGAGAGCTCAGATTCTGCTGAAGGCCCAACCTCCCCAATGTGGATTTCACTCTGTGCACGTGCATGATTGACCAGACTCATCAAGAACAGGCAGGGCCTGCACTTGGGAGACTTTGGACAGCTGCCATTTCCAAGCTTTCTGGCATGCCCTAGATAAGCACATGGATCTCCTTCTCCTTAATGGCATCACAGGCTTTGAAGACTTGGTCTGAAATTTATCTGCCATGTTGTGGACATCACATATCAACATATGTGGCCTGTTGGCTGCTGGCTGGAATGATGGGAGGTCTCTGGGACAACCAGATGAAAGTAGGGATAAGCAAATGTGGCTGGAGCCCCAGTGAGGCAGGACAGGTCTTCATTTGCAGCCAGGAAGACACTCTATCGAGCCCAAGAATATTATAGAAAACATCATCTTTGAGAGTGTTTCCAGCATCATGGTCTCCTCCCAGTAACTCCTTCTGCTGAATGTCTCCTTTTCTCTGTGTTTTGTTTTCCCTTACATACAGTCAGATTCTTAAATAAGAGCGCTTTACTTCCTGGGGAAAAAAAATTGCAATCACTTCTCTATGTGTTTTCTATGTCAATGAAATCCTAGGTGTAGTTTCCCTGTCCCTACTCCTTCAACAGGAATTCTTACGCTGGGGTCTGTGAATTTAGTTTTTGTATTTAGATAACTGAGTTTCAATAGAACTGGAGTTTCTTCAGTCACCTTCAGTATTTCATTTATTTAAGAACATGATTCTGAGGAGGGGCCCATAAGCTTCTCCAGATTGCCAGGGAGGGTCCAGGAGCCCCTTAAAAGGAGATTCAAGAATCCCTGCCTTGTAACCATAGCTCCAATGAAAACCACTCCGATTAAGCAAAGTAGATTCCCTTTGATGGCATCCTGTATATTTTCCTATGGGAATGGCAAACTGGAAACTAGGTGAAGAGAAAACAGAAAGTTCCAGATGCAAATATTTACTGCAATGTCCTGGTTCTTACATAAACGATCTCTTTCTTTAAAAAAAAATGGGCTGAGATAAAATGAACAAGAACCTGAGATCTTTGCTAGGCCCAGATGATGTGGACATTCTGGTGTCAACCATTTACTGAGTTCATTCTAAAAAAGAAAAACAGAATTAGGCTGCATGTGTATGTTTATTTCTCTCAAAGCCTGTGGACCATGCATATAGAGATATGCATGGGAGCTCATTGTAAACCTAAAATGAGCCCAAGGACAGGATAGACAAATGAGATTTTATATCTTCAGAGTAATTCCCTCTCACCCCTCCTTCCCTTCCTTGTTCAGGATGCCTCTGTCAGCCAAAATTATAGTCTCCATATGTGTTGACTGTAGTATGAGAAAGTTATTTAATTGGATAGGCTGTAAATACAGTAAGATAGAGGAATGTCAAGGTGTAGATTGAAATCATAGACCCAGGACGTCTGTGTTTCTTCTATCATTAATATGACATACTATAACATAACATGTTTATAGAATAAATACTGAGATAAGAAAAGTCCCATTATTCAAGATGGCATCTGGGTCAAGGTGCCTTGTCCTTGGCAGAAGAACACTTTGGCTGGCTTCATCTGGCCTTGTAGTTGCTGACACAAGAAGGGGCATTTTGGGTTGGCTCAGAAAGCAAAGCAAAGCATGTCTGTTATGCCAGAGCCCGCAAAGCATTGTGGTAGGTTAAGCGCAGAGTGGGCCAAAGTGTCTCATTGTACTTTAGGCCTCTCTCAGGTCTTGGGGGTTTAAAATGGTTTGGGGAGGGTTTCACATTGTTTACCCTGTATAAAGTTTGTTTATAAATATTTATAGACAATTGTCTACAAATGTAAGCTCCTTGAGGACAGGCATTGTCTTTTGCCTTTCGTTGTATACCCAGCCTTGAGCACAAACCCCTAGGGCATAGTAAGGGATTTGTGGGTGATCAGTATACCCAGCCTTGAGCACAAACCCCTAGGGCATAGAAAGGGATTTGTGGGTGATCAGTCTTTAGTGACCTCGTTTGGGGTTTTCTTGATGAGGAAAATAAAAGCCAACAGGGTTAAGCAACTTGCCCAAGGTCACACAGCCAGATTTGAACTTGGGAAGGCCTGGAGCCTCCCACTGCACCACCTGGCTGCCCCACATAAGGGCCGGATAAATGTTTATGCTTATTGATTGAATGACCGACATTTGCGGCCCACGCCGCAGCCCTGGTTGGGAGGAAGCCGCCCAGGCCGCAAAGCCCCGTGCAGTCTGGTGGGGTTCAGCCCAGGAGGGGCTGAGTGGGCTCGCGTCCTCGTGCGGAGGGGCTTGAAACCGGCGCCAACCGTCACAGAAAGCTCTGGAAGCGGCGGTTCCGCCCAACCGCCCCAGGCGCTCACCCTCCCTCAGGCAGGCGGCGGGGAGCCGCGGGCTGGAGCAAGGGCAGCGAGGACACCCGCCGCCCGCCGGCGCGCCGGCCCCTCCTCTCTCTCCGCCCTCGGAGGGCGGCGCCTGCTCAGTGCAGGGCGGAGGTCCCCCGGGCTCGGCCGGGCTCGGCGGGGTGGGAGGGGACTGGATCTGGGGGGGCGGAGCTTGACCGCGAATCCAGCTTCTCATTGGTCCCCCTGCGCCATCGCCCCGCCCCATCCCTGCGTTCTCCCTCCTTCTTCCCGCCCCTTCCATGGCGCCGCCCGGCCTCATTCATTCCTCCCTGGGCCACTCGGAAACCGGCGAGTCCCCGCAGCGCGTCGGGAGCGGCGACACCATGTCGGGCGAAGAAACCGCGTCCCCGTCCGCCATCCAGATCAGCAGGTAACGACGGGAGCCGAGGCGGCGCGGGCGCCGGCCGCTCACGAAGCGGGCACCTGCCGCGGCCCGGCTGGGAGGGGATGCTCCGCTCCGCCTGAGTCACCGCCCGGGGTCGGGCCGGGCCCGGCTGTGCTGGGCCGGGCCGAGCCGGGCCGGGCCGGGCCGGCCTGAGCCGGCTCCGCCCTGTGCCGTCGCGGCCCCCGCCGCCTCCATCCCAGAGGAGGCGCCTCCATCCTCCCTCCTCCCTCCCCCCTCGGTTCTAACCCCCAATGCCGCCCCTCCCCCGCCGAGGCTCGTTGGAGCAGCCTCTCCATTCCCCTCCCCCCTCGGTTCTAACCCCAATGCCCCACGCCCTCACTTGCTTTCAGGGATTCTCACCTCCGGATATCGACACCCCAGGACGAGCCTCCTCCCCCCATGAATCCCAGCCCCCAAACACCGCCCTTCCCCCTCTGAGCCTCGTTCGCCCATCCTCCCCCTCCCCAGGATGAACCCCATCCCCTCATCAACCACCCCCCAACTGATGCCCTTCCCCAGCCGCCCCTCAGCCCCTTTCCCTTGTTCCTCACTTCACCCCCTCAACTGTCGGTCCCTCTCACTGAGTTCTGTTTACTCATCCCCTCAGTGATGCTTACCTCCTAAATGCCCCCCTCCGTGACAACCCCAAAGTCTCATCTCCCACAGTGATTCTCACCCTGTGACCTCACTCCTCCAAATACTGCTCCCCATCCTCTCCTCCCTCGCCCTCTCCCCTTATTTGTCCTTCTGCTTCCCAGGCTGAGCTCCATCCGTTCACACTTTTCATCCTTAACCTCTAACCTCACCAAAATTCCTTCTTCCTCTCCCCCACCTGGTGTAGACCTGTGCCCTCTCCATTTTCACCCTCTCACCTCATACCTTATAAACCCCCTCCCCACGGTTGGGGCCCATCCTTTTATTCCCCTCCATTCTTACCTCATCCCCCAAATACCTCCTCCAGGCCCTATTCTGATACTTCTACCCCTCTCCCCATCCCCCCCATGCCTTCTCCCTGGGGCTCATGCTCATTCTTTTATTTGCCCCCAAATAGCTTTTCCCCTGGCACTCTACCCCAAACTCTTCCTCTTCTTGGGCCTACACCTCATCCTTTTACACTCTGGATAAGACCAACCACCTCTGGGACTGATCTCCACACTCTCATCCCTCACATCCTTGCCCTCTCTCCACCTTCCCCTAAAGTAAAAAAAAATTAAAAACAACCAGACAAAACAAGCTGCTTCCATTCATTGGCCCACATCCCTTCTCTTATGCATATGGGACCTGAGTGAGCTTTTTTTTAACCTTCACCTTGTCTTATATCTATTCACCTTATACCGATCTCCCTAAAACACCCCCTTCTCCTAACACATCAGCTCCTTGTCCCTTTGTCTTCTGTACCAGCAGTGGATGTCTCCTGCTTGAGGATCCCCTATTCTTGTATCCCATCTCTACCCTAGTTACCCAACCCCGTGATCTGTCATCGACCCCCATTCCACCCTTCTAATGGCTCCAGCCTGGTAGGACTTAGATCTGGCATCCTGTTCGTTGGTTTGGGTTTCCCCCCCTCAAACTGGTACAGCCAGAAGGGCCTGGGAGATACATTGTCAGTTGGCACAAGGAAAGGAAGATCTGTTACCTTTTTTCCTCCTTACACCGGGTTTGCTGCTTTCTAATCATCTCTGTGATCTTCTCCTGACCTTATTCATGTGTAAATTAGGAAGGTTTCAGCTGGAAGGCACCTCAGAAATAATGCAGTCCAATTCCCTCATTTTATATCTGAGGAAACTGAGACCCAGAAAGGTAAAGTGATACTTTGCCTTTAATGCTTGACACTTGCTGCCTATATGACCCTAGGCAAGTCAGTTAACTTTCTTGGACCTCAGTTTCCTCACAGGTAAGATGGATGGTTAGGTTTTGACAGCTGCCTTTGAACTGGAGAACTGTGATGGGACCACCCTGATGTGTCATCATTTATGGCAAGGGCCAGACGTGTCAACAAGCTAACTTCCAAAGATAGGGGGGCCTAAACAAGCCCTACTCCTTCCCTAAAGCCTCTCTTTTTAAAAACACAGTCAACTTGGGCATTTGATTTGCTTCCTAAAGTGCTTTTAGCAATGATCTTGGACTCTGATTTCCTGGACATAATTATGCAATTGCAAATGCTTAGACTTTTTTGTTTGTTTGTTTGTTTTGGGCCTGTGAATATGAATGCTAGGAAACCACTAGCAGGTGGTTTCAGTGGTGGTGGACTGCTTTTTTTAACTTTGTCTTGGTAGAGTAATTTGTAGTTTCTTGGGACCCCACTTGTAAAGGGCACAAATGCGTGCTTGGTGCACAGCAGGCACTCTATAAATGTTAGCTAGGAGGAGGAGGAGGAGGATGAGGATGATGATGATGATGATATTTGGCCCCAAAGAAGAGAAATGAGAATACACTTTCCCTTCTTCCCTGCCCCCTTTTCTTTGCAAAGGCAGGGGAAAAAAGAAAGAACTCAGTTTGAGTGGAAACATTTTGGGATAACTGGGTAGGGGTAAGTTTAGTTTAGAAACTACATTTAGGGTCATAGTCCAGTAAGACATTCCCTTCGCACTCCCCAATTGTTTGGTTGGTTTTTATTGATTTCAACAGAATAAAGTAGCTTCAGTGTGTGCACCTGGGCCTTCCACAAGGGACATAGCCTTGAATGGCACTCTGTACCCAGTAATGTTAAATAAATAAATAAAATTGAACTTGGAAGAAGTAGTAGAGAGTCATTTCACCAGACAGTGGCTTGGCAGATAAGGGTTTACACGTTGTCATCGGAGACCTGGGTTGCTAAATAAATAACAATTTCACTGAGGTGAAGCTCAAGGACTTAAAATATTTTTTTAAAGTTTTACTAATAAAATATCTTTTGTCAGTTAGTCAATAAACCTGTTTGACGGGCAGCTAGATATCTCAGTGGACAGAGTGATGGGCCTAGAGTCAGGAAGACCTGAGTTCAAGTCTAGCCTCAGACCCTTACTAGCTGTGTGACCTTGGGCAAGTCACTTAACCTCTGTTTGCCTTAATCTACTGGAAAAGGAAAGGGCAACCCCCTCCAGTATCTTTGCAAAGAAAACCTCATGGACAGTATTGGCGTGCTATGGTCCACGGGGTCATGAAAGTTGGATATGACTGAACAACAACACCGGGTGCCAGACACTTACATCAACTTCATTTCTCATTGCTGAAATCACAGTCCAGGCCCTCTGTCTTTATTTTCCAAAACATTCCCTTCACTTTCCAATCCAGAAAGCCATGCCTTATAACAAAGAATAAAAAAGAGAGAGAAGAAAAAAGTGATTTCACAAAACTAACCAACACACCAACCAAGTTTGAGTATTTACAATTTTCAACACCTGACCAAGGGCTCTTGTCCTTTTCTCTGCCTTTGCAAAGTAAAACAGAGAACAGGTCCGTTCTCATATGTCTTCTCTGGGACCAGATGTAGTCATCACCACCATCATCATGCCAACATCCATACAGTGCCCACTGTGGGCCAGGCACTTCACAGTTATTTGCAATTATTATCTCATTTGATCGTCACCACAACCCTGGGAAGTAAGGACTATTATTATCCTCATTTTACAAATGAGGAAACTGAGGCAGACACATTAAGTGATTTGTCCACCAGGGTCATACAGCTAGTAAGTATCTGAGGCTGGATTTGATTTGACTCCAGAAAGGGGCCAGCACTCTGTCCACTGTGCCCTCGAGTTGCCTCATAATTTCATAGCATTCAGGTTTTTTTTGTTGTTGTTGTTGGTCTTCCTGTTTCCATTTCTAGCTGCGGAACTGCATGTGCCCCAAGTGCTTCTGATGCTGCCGTGCTGTGTGGAAGAGGCTGGGGGTCCTGCTTCCATGTATGATAGAGACCTTGGAGAGGGCATTCACGCTGTAGAGCAGGTCCTGGTCAGCTCATGTGGCTAACCCCAGAGGCATCAGGAGTGTTGTTTCCTGGTTCTGCTTACTTCATGCATCTCCAACTTCTTTACATTTATCATTTCTTATGATGCATCAGTGTGCATTCATGTACCGTAACTGCTTAGCCATTCCCCAATCCATAGTTACTGCTCTGCTGTCACAAAAAGGGCTGCTTTGAGTATTTTGGTATATGTGGGACCTCCTCATACTCCCCTTCTTGCTCTGGGATTTCTGGTTAGTCACTTTTCCTTGAGCTCATTCCCAGTCACTTTCTGGAGCAGTTGGACCTTTTCAGACTCCCACCAACAGTGCATTGGTATGCTTGTCTCTCCAGAAGGCCTTCAGCATTGTTTTTTCCCTCCACTTGTCCTCTTTGTCACTTGATGAATTCCAGTTATATCAACTTCTGGGGTGCATAATTAATGAAATGGCCACCAAAGTACTTTATGACATTCAGTTCAGTGATGTAAGTGCATGCCTCCCCCACAGCTGGTAATCTCTTTAAATTATAACACTATCAAAATATGTGATAGTATTCCAGGTGGGAAAGTCTCCTTACCCAATAAAATATATTAAAATGCTATAAGCATAATATAATGCATACAGAAATCTATGTTAACGTCATGTTATACCTGGGGAGCATTAGCCCACCTTCAATTAAACTGAGTGTGAAGTTCTAGGTAGCAGAGTATGGTGGAGAGGGCCCTGATGCTGCAGGCAGAAGGCGCAGGTTCAGACCCCACTTCTGGCAGTTACTACTTGGGGCAAATCATTCCCCTCCCTGGGCCTCAGTTTCTCATTTGTAGAATGATTGGTTTGGGCCTCAGTGGCTATTGAGGTCCCTTTTTGCACTAGATCTCTGATCCTTGGATTTTGGAGTGGTCTTTCAGATGGTCATTAACAGTTTGTAATTCTTCTTTTAAGAATGTTGGTTCATTTCCTTTGACCACTTATCCAGTGGGAAATGGCTTTTAGACTTAAATAATGATCAATTTCCTATATGTCTTGGCCTTCAGACCCTTATCCAGGGGTATTGGAAG